ATATCTGCTCCGCATCTCCCCCTCGGTCTCCCGGGTAGACTCCTCCACAGGCCGACCTCTCCACTGCACTTTCACTAAAGCTATATCCTTTGATCTCAACTTTCGGACCTGCCGCTCCAAAACAGCCACTGCTCTACATCATAAGTCAAATCACTGTCTAACTGAACCGTGCTGAAATCCAAAACACGAGACGGATCGCCAATATACTTCTAGAGCATAGAAATATGAAATACCGGATGCACACTCGATAAGCTGGGTGGCAAAGCAAGCTCATAAGCCACCTCCCCAATCCTCTGAACCACCTCAAAAGGCCCAATGAACCGAGGACTCAATTTACCCTTCTTCCCAAATCTCATAACACCCTTCATGGGCGATACCTTCAGTAGAACCTTCTCCTCAACCATGTAAGACACATCACGAACCTTCCTGTCAACATAACGCTTTTGTCTCGACTGCGCTGTATGAAGCCGCTCCTGAATCACCTTCACCTTGTCTAAAGCATCCTGTACCAAGTCTGTACCCAAAAGCATGGCCTCGCCCGGCTCAAACCAACCAACTGGAGATCTACACCGCCTCCCATATAAAGCCTCATATGGAGCCATCTGAATACTCGACTGATAACTGTTGTTATAAGCAAACTCCGCGAGCGGTAGAAACTGATCCCATGAACCGCCAAAATCAATGACACAAGCGCGCAACATGTCCTCCAATATCTGAATAGTGCACTCGGACTGCCCGTCCGTCTGAGGGTGAAAAGTTGTGCTCAACTCAACCTGAGTACCCAACTCTCTCTGCACGGCCCTCCAAAACTACGAAGTAAACTGAGTACCTCTATCTGAAATGATAGAAACTGGGACACCATGCAAGCGAACAATCTCTCGGATATTCTTAAGACAGCTTTCAAGACCCAATATGGCCATTATGAGTTCCTTGTGATATCTTTTGGGCCGACCAATGCCCCAGCAGCGTTCATGCATTTGATGAATAGTGTGTTTCGGCCTTATCTCGACTTGTTACGGAATCAAGAAACAGCAAATACAACACGAAAGGGTACAAAACCTTAAAAATTAAAGGAACAAAAAACAACAGTTTTTTGTTCCCTTAATTTTTAAGGTTTTGTACCCTAATTTTTTGTTCCCTTAATTTTTAAGGTTTTGTACCCTTTCGTGTTGTATTTGCTGTTTCTTGATTCCGTGTTGTTGTTTTTCGTAAATTCATTATTATTTAATTTCCCTGTCATTCTTATTATATCATTATATCATCTGCCTTGTTCTTATTACCTCCAGTAGGGCCCTGACCTGACCTCGTTACTACTCTATCGAGGTTAGACTTGACACTACTGGGTACCATTGTGGTGTACTCATATTATGCTTATGTACATATTTGTACAGATCCAGGTACATCCTATCAGCCTCAGTGTTAGAGAGTTGTGTTGCTGCTTGGAGAATTCGAGGTACACCTGCCCGCGTCTGCAGGCCTCGGAGTCCCCTTCTATCCCGTCTTTTCCTTGTTTTCTTTATGTTCTTGATAGAGAGTGATGTATAGGATTAAATGTATCTAGAGCTTTTGACTTATTTCTTACCGGCTTTTGGGAGTTGTATATACTTTGAGTTACAGTTTTTACCTTATACAATTGTTGATTATTTTGAGCTTTAGATTATTATTTCAGTTATTCCGCATGCTTGTTAGGCTTACCTAGTCTTAGAGACTAGGTGCCGTCACGATATTCTGCGGAGGAAAATTGGGGCGATACGATATTCTACGGGGGGAAATTGGGATTGTGACAGATACTTAAATTCTGTAAAGACCAACCAGAAAGTGTTGGCCGATTGCTTATTTTAATGGGAGAATGACACAGTTACCCACAAAAACATAACTATTTACCCTTGTCTACCCATTTATTTTTCTACCCACAAACTAATTATATTTCCTACCTATAGTAGTTTTTATGGGAAATTTTATCTTTTTTCTCCAATTCTTTTTTATTTCTATGTTTCTTTTCCTTTTCCTTTTCCTTTTTTCCTTTTTTCTTTCTTTTCTCCTTTTCTTTTTTCTCATTTTCTTCTTATTTCTTTTTTCTTTTCTAATTTCATTTAACTTCTTTTTATGTTTTTTCTTCATAATCTAACTTTTGTTCACCTTTTTTTTAATATAACTAGTATAATATACCTTTTGTCTTTTTATTTATTTTTTAAATTCAATTATTAAATTAAAATAATGTCAGTTGTCACTTGATCTAATTCACTAAATATCACATTGAACGCTGCCAAGCACCATAAATTACATAATCAGATTCAAAAATCAACACGTGATTGCCATGTAATAAATTATAACATCATATTGTATATTATAATAATATATTATTGTAATAAACTATATACTATTGAATTATATATATTATATACCAATATAGCACACAATATATGAAAATGATATTTTATGTTCTTCATTCAAAACATTACACTATTACATCAAAATAGTATACTATTATGTTATATCGTATACTATTACAGCATATTGTTGTAGTATATTGCACATTATTACAATATACCGTTACAGTATATTATATACTATAATAGTATACAGTTGCATTATAGCTATATACTCCTATAGTATATTGTTTACCGTAATGGTATACTGTCAGGTAATTGTGTTCTTTTTCGATTATTATAGTATACCGTTGCAGTATATTGTATACTATAATAGTATATTGTTACAATATAGCTATATACTCCTACAACATATTGTATACCGTAGCAGTATACTATTAAGTAACTGTGTTCTTCTTCGATTAAGATTCGATCTCAATCATCTCAAATCAACTTTAAATGTGATCAAATTTCAATATGGACTTCCAGAAGGTACTATAGGCAATATTTAATAACACCTACTTTGAATCAAATAAGAAATCTTCAAAAATAAAAATTGAGCTTCAAGCCAACAATGGTGAATGTTCAAATACACATAAAAATTCAGATTTGGGAGGCTTACTCGAAGGTACTATAAGCAATACTTTATAGCACCCACATCGAATTAAACAATAAATCTTCAAAACGAAATTTTAAATTTAGAAGCTTCAAGCTCAATAATGGTGGGTCTTCATACACACATAAAAATCATAAGGAAAGGAGGTAGAGCAATAGCTTGGGTTGACCATCTTAATGAAGATCGATTTGACAGAGAAGAAGTAGATCCATTCAAGTCCACTACCAGGTAATCTTGCAAAAATAAAGTCGAATGTTTTTAACATTTTGTACTTCAATTGAGAAGATGGGTGGGTCGGGTAAATAGTTTGGGCTGCATTGGCAGATAAAGTAAATAGTTTAGGCTTGAGTATTAAAGGGTAAATAGTTTGGGCTTAATAGGTATAAAGTGAGATTTTTCCCAAAAGAAATCGTAATTGAGCCCATTAATAAAAGGAATTTTTACCTCCTATAGCAAAGGGTAACACCTTATTTATTTTAAATAAATACCATTTAAAAAAATTATATTCTATAGATACCTTTTAATGTTTATAGCAAAATATCTAATTTTGGTTACCTCCTACCCCTAAGCCACTAAATACGCTATTCAGTTACACTATTTTCTTTCTCTCTCTACTTTGATACATGCCATTTTCTTCCCTAATTCCCTAAAAACACGTTGCTCAATCTCAAAATTCCTCTCACCCATATCACCTACCACATAACATAAACTGCAACAGAACAAATTCACATCAAAATTACGTTTTCTAACTTGATTCTTTCTCATTTCCTGTCGGAGTTCACGTTTTATTTGCCAACTTAGATGCCCAAAAAGTAGTAGTTTGTGAATTCCGCTCCATTTGTCTCTTCCTTCTTTCGGGTCCAATTCAACTGTGTAACAGGGGATCTTGCTCCTTCTGCTACCCAATTTGATTATTTTTTTTCATGTTGTTTGCTTTGGCGATTTGGGATTTTTTAGATGGACGATGACGAAGAGGGAGATTTGCTGTACAGAGTTGAAGATATGATTGACTTCTGCAGTTACTGCTAACAAAGGATGATGAGAGACAAGAGGGACATAAGGCCTGTAATTTTGATGTTGAATTTGTAATTTTGATGCATGGGAACAATGAGATTTAGGGTTTTTGCTCGACGGTGGACTCGCCGAAAATTAACGTTTGTTCTTGAACAAAGACGACGGAGTTTGGGGCCGAGCAACTTGATTTTCTGTTAATATATTTCAATGTATTTTCAACGTATCACGTAGTATTTCCATGTATTTCATTGTATTCGTTGTCTTTTTTTCCATTGTAATTCAATGTATTCCATGTATTTCATTGTATTCACTGTCTTTTTTTCATTGTATTTCAATGTATCCCGCTGTATTATGTGTATTTCATTGTATTCACTGTCTCGCTATATGCCATGAATGTATTCGTATATTTTTTTTAATTAATATAATTTATGTATTCAGATGTATTATATAATTTCTCTGAAGATTGCTATGTTTTTGGGGTATATTTCGGTTGAGAATCTTTTTTTAAAACTGGAAATACAAAATTTGTGTGTTATAATTGAGTTTGTTGAGTTATATTAGGAGTCTATTATGTTAATTGGTTCACTTTCCGTTTAAAAACAGCGTAATCCCCTGTTTCATGCCGTGAATACAGTCGAATACATTAATATGTCCAGCTGTAATCCCATGTTTCACGCTAGGAATATAGTCGAATACACTCGAATACAACAATTGATTAGCTGGACTTCCCTGATTCACGCCTATTTTTGCTACTGTATTCATGAATACAGTAGCTTAAATACATCTTATAACAACAGAAAACGTATCTGCAATCCGTAATTAGCAAATGATATCTATAAATAACTAATACCACTAAAAGATAGTGCTTTATGGAAATTTCTCTTAATAAAATCCCTAGTCATGGGCCAAAGGGCAGCAAGCTTGGCCCAATAAAACTGGAGGGGGCTACAAAAACGCGGGAAGTTTTGCCGCCACATCAGAGTAATAAATAAAGTCTTGACTACTCATTTCCCCAATTTTATTTCAAACTCATCAGCTCTATTCACACTCTCCAGTTTCTCCTCGATCCATTAATCATCATCCATTGCCAAGGTTAGATTTAATAATGGATCACAACTTGGTGTTAATTGATTTTTTTTTTCCGATTTGGGTTTTTTTGATTTGTTCATGTTGTATGCTGATTGCAGTTTTCTTGTAATAATGACTTATTTTTTGTTTAGTCAACCATATTATTCGCGCATTGGTGCCAATAGGTCATGAATTTTGTTTTTTCCCCTTAATATTTTAGTTGATGTTCGATGTGAAATATGCAGTTAGAAGTGTTTCCGAGTTTGAATTTTGTAGTCTTTATTTTGTACTAGATGCTTACAGTTTGTGGAATGGATGTTAGTCTTGTTTAATTAGCAACTGTTAATTGTCATAGTGCGATTAGAGAATGTATAAAAGTTTAACTAACAGGCTTCTGATTTGCTGTCTTTAAAGTTTTAGTAGCAAGAGCCAATGAAAATGTAAAATGTTTACTATTCTATTTACTAGAGTTCTTGAACCAGAAACACAACTTTAGAAAGAAAAAATGAACGTTTCAAAAGCGTTTCTCAGTTCCAAATTTTAGTTCTATTTATTGGTATAGCTAGTTATTGACTCTAGGTTTGATGGTTAAGAGTGAAATGCTTATAAAAGTCTTATCTCACTCAATTATACTGGATTTCGTGTGGGATATGAGTCTAAGAAACTAATGAAAAATTTGGTATATTTTAGTCTATTTCTGTTGTTCATCTAAAAGTGAATGCTAGATACCATCAGACAGGAAATGCTATTGTTGGGTTAAACCACCCCAAGTATATTCTTAACATGACGTGATATCGTCCGCTTTGAGCCAAGCCTGCACGGTTTTCCCCATAAAGCCTCACACCATTAAGAGTATCCATATGATGTATATGTAGCTTTCCTATCTTTTCAGCTACCATTGTAGGATTTTTTGTTTTTAGACCCAATGGTTACCCTATAATACAATGTCGATTAAAATTTTATATTTGTTTTGTAGGAGATGGACACGTCAAATCCTGCAGCCTTTGTCAATGCTGAGTTCCTCAAGGAGCATGTAGGAAGGAGGGTTCGTGCAGTGGTTCAGGTTATGCAATCTGATGGTGATACAGTCATTGGAAAATCCACAGATGAAAAACAGCTAGTTGTGAAAGGATATCCACCTAATCCTCTTTCAACTTTTGTTGAAGTAATTGGTATTGCTGACACTACCCAGTCTATTCAAGCAGAAACTTGGACCAATTTTGGTGATACACTTGGTATGTCTTACTCATGTTATTCAGATAACGGCTTTTCTTATATCAGTTGCATTTGAATGTTAATTTTGTACAATACATGTACATGCTTTCATCGGCAATCACTTCCAAAACTTTCTTGCTGAACTGAAAGAGCTATTGGTAAAGATAGAAATGTAAATTTCCCCCGAGATAAATAAACTGTATTTTGCTCATACTCATAGATGAAAAGGGAAAGGAGGGCATTGTAAAGATTAAGTTCATAACTATATAATTGATGATGCAGTTTTCAGTACATAAACTTTATTGTTGCCAAGCGAAAGTATCATGTAGCGGGAAATTTAGGATCTATAAGATACTGCACGGATGAGTTGGTTGTATTCAATTAAGTAAAGGGCAGCCCGGTGCACTAAGCTCCTGCTATGTGTGGGGTTCGCAAAAGGGCCGGACCACAAGTGTCTATTGTACGCAGCCTTACCCTGCATTTCTACAAGCTATGTTGCTCCGACTCTCCGAAAATGTCGCCGCTTACGTGTCGGATTTTTGGAGAGTCCGCGCAACATAGTCTGCAAGAGACTGTTTCCATGGTTTGAACCCGTGACCTCCTGGTTACATGGCAACAACTTTACCAGTACGCTAAGGCTTCCCTTCATTGTATTCAATTAAGTAAACTGAATAAAAGATGGTTGCCTGTCGTTTATCTTCATTCTGTTACTTCTCTGAATTTTTCCTATAAGAAATTCAAGAAGTAAAACAAATGGAATTTTGGTTAGTTTAACTAATCAGGTTGTTATGATGTTTATAATTTATGGTAGTTTTCTACCTTGTCTACACTCCTACCATCTGTGATAGCTGTTATTATTCTTACTCTGTCAAACATTTCAAGACCGATGTAATTTAAAACAATACTATACCGAGTATATTCTCACAAGTGGGACTAGGAAGGTAGTGTGTACGCACAGTGGCGGATGTACATGGATACTTATGGGTGCTTGAGCACCCATTACTTTTAACCGAATTTAGTAAATTTGCATAGGCAATTATAAAAATAGTTAGATAAATATAGAGTGAGCACCCATAACTAAACTTTTTTTTCCTCTTCTTTCCGATTTTTTATCGGCGAGCGCCCATCACTTTAAAATTATGGATCCGCCACTACGCAAACGTTACCCTTACTTTGTGCAGGTAGAGAGATTGTTTCCGATAAACTCTCGGCTCAAGTAAGCACAATATCAGCATTAAAGAAATGCAATATAAAAAATGAACAAGTCATGGAAAGGAGACACAACAATAGTAGGATATTAACAGACCGAAACACAAGCAATATCGAGGTAGTAATCTGACCCTCGGAATAAGTGATTCCAGACTGCATATAACTTGATGCATGCTATGGGCATTTCGTGTGGACATAGTTTGATTATGTAAAATTCTGCTAGTGACTTGAGGTTTATTGAAACTTTTGCTATATACATAGTGCTTTACCTCTTGATTATCTTTACTTGCTAATCTTCTTCTAAATCCCAAATTCTTTCATATTTGGCAGATGTTACTAGCTACGACAAGGTTTGCAGACTGGCAAATGGGGACCATAAGCACTTGTTTATCTGAGAAATAGCGAACGAATGCTATAGAAGTGGATGTAATCTTACTTCTGCTGCATTCTTGCAGTCTTTAAATGTATAACTATAGTTAGAAGTATTTTTGAACATTTGGATCTTCAGCTTCTGTTAGGTAGTTTCATCATAAGAAGTTTAGCTCTGTGTTAGATGGAAACTTGTTTAGTTTTCAACTTATGCTATTTGGTATTGAACCTTAATATTTGTAGTTTCCCTAGCTAGTCAGTTTGACTTCAAATGATTTGTGTTACATAAGTTGGACACTCGCGTGATAAAAAATGGTACAACTTTGTCAATCCCTAACCTAGAACTTCCATCCCTATCTGATGCAATTTCATCTGACATATATTGGATAACTTCATAGACGGATTCAGAATTTGAAATTTATGGTTTAAGTTTCCTTTTTATTTAGTCGAAAACAAATAAGCGGGAAGGGAAGCCATAAAAATCAAACTCACGTTTGATATGTAAAATACTTCTATTGGTTTTTCAATAGCTCCACATTTGTATACTGAAGCACCATATTCTAGTCTCTACTTTAGTAGCCCATGATCTCCTAATCTTTTCATTGTGCCTTTTGAATTCTTTAAAAATATTACTTCACTTTATATTTTTGTATTTTGTGACAAAGTAATTAATTTTGATTGAAATATGCACACATATGAAGATGAATTTAATTACTACTTTAGTCTCTCCAAAATGTTTGTATTTTATCATTGAGTTCCTCTAACTCCAAATAACATAAATTTAAATTGCTTTTGCACCATACTCTACGAAGGATCATATTTCATCCAACCATATAAAGTATTCTATGATTTTTGTGGTTATTGTATCAAAAAAATTACTCTAAATAATTTAAATAGAGTGTACTCTCAACTTTAGTTTTTGAGATATTGACCTATCATTAAAAAGAGGTACAAATTGTACACATTTTATCGAGTAATCTGATTATTACTTGATAACTCAATAGAATACATGCCTAATTCAAGAATATTTGACACATATAGTTTTTTCTAAAAATTTTAATCTTGGAAAAATTATTCCCTATGCGTCAAACAAATGATAATAACAACCTCTTTTTTCTTTTCCTTCCAAAAAATAATTAACTTGAAAAAAAAAGAAAAGGAAAAAGTTTTTTTGGTTCTCAATTCATATACGTACACTTACAAGGGCTATATGAAATCCTTGTGTCCCCACAGTTTAAACACTTGATCTATAATGGCATAAATACCCTTATAGATATTTACTTACGACGCAAAGGACATGGGAATATAGGGAGAAAACTGTCATTACGTAACAGAACAATCATACAAAATAAAAATATCCCCAAATGAAAACCCTAACACCAAATCCAGCTGGGTCGTCAAACCTAGGGTTTATAAATTACCCTCAAACACACAGCGCAGATTACTTTCACGTGAGCTATTTTTTGGTCTCGGCGTTTGCTTCCACAGCTAAGGAAAGAAAGAGGGTTCTCATTTCATTTCTAGGTAATAATTTCTTCTCATTTACATCTTCGTTTGTTGTAATTGTTGTTTTAATATGTTTTTCTATGTATACATTTCACCATTCTTTATTTGCTTTTTCGGGGTGGGTGGGGGTGGGGTGGGTGGTAGAATATGCATATTTTATTTGGATTACACGGATTAGATTTGTTTTGAATAATTGGGTTATTTTTATGTGTGGATATACCTACATGGATCTGTGTGCAATGTCCTGTGGACTCTGTTGAAATTTTGTTTCCTTAGAAGGTTTAAATTTGCAGCTTTAGTGGTTGAAGGGGAGACTTGTAGCAACGATAAAGTTGTCTCCGTGGTCACAGGTTCCAATCGTGGAATCAGCCACTGACACTTGCCTTAGGGTAGGTGCGGCCCTTTCCAGGACCCTGGGTGAACGTGGGATGCTTTGTGCACCTGACTGCCCTTTATTGCAACTTTAGAGGTTAAATGGGAGGATACATTGAGATGGTACAACTATAAATGTGAGTCATTTGCTGACTGATGAAAATTGTAGTATTAGGCATCAGGTTGGTTAATGATAGGTTGTTGTATTAAAGTATTAAAGATTGATAATAATGTCCAAATGTTGGTTAGAGTAGTGATATGAAGTTAAAAATTTGAAAATGTTGGGGCAAGAAAATGACTTCCGCTTATAAGTTAGGGAAGTCATTTTCCTCCTTTTTGTTGGAAAGTATTTGCAGGAAATTAAACACCAAAAAATGATTTTAGTTTCGGTAAAGTACTTTCCGTCTTGCTGAAACTACCTAGTTTTGACTTTAAACTCACTTATGTTAATTATATATGTACATGCACACACTGCAAAGTAGTGTTCCTAACTTAGAGGCAGTGCATGATCCAAATGCATTAGTCCCATCTTATGCTCTTGCATCTCATCTATCTGTCTAGGCAAAAGATTGTCACTACTTGTCGACAAGGTTATATTTGTTCTTGTTTTCCAGCCCCTTTCCCAACACAGAAAGCTTCTCAGAATCTTGATTGTTCAAGAACTACTGTATTCAATGGTTGAGAATTAATGTTGTGCTTCAGAGATGATGAAGGCTTATACTAGGCGTGCCAAATATTGTCTGAAGCCTTCGAGGGATTGTTTCTGACATTTGGTAAATGGGGCTAACACCTTCTTTTGTATAGCGGAAGCATAAATGTTAGAGGCTATGCTATCTTTGCTATTGAACCTTCCAAAATCTTAGTCCAAAATACAAAGAAAAAGTAGCTATAGCATTATTATATCTTCCAAATTAGGGAATGAGGCAACCTAAAATTGAGAGCCTGGGTGCTTAAAACTCATATAATTCAAATTTTGAGAAAGACCATTTAATTTAGGTTAGACAATTCAAGTGGAATTTCGAAGCATTTTGATAATTTGACTCTATATTTTGGACTACTAATTTGTACTTAAGATCAAGAACAATAAAATTGGTTCTTCTTTCTTAAAAACAATACAATTTAGCTTTTACCTTGTGACGGCATGTGTTGGTCATGGTGCATTTATAAACGGGATTAACTAAAAGATGAAAAGGTCCACGGTCTGAAAAGAATGAGTACATGTTACCATGAAGGATCCTTTTTATGATAATGGTAGAGTTGGGGCCAGCTCGCGCGCACCGCGATGTTTCCACTAGGACGATTTGTCATTGACTTTGTTATGTTTTAATTGTTGAGAAATAAAGAAATCAGTGGAGGATTAGTAAGACTTCACGATGCTGATACTAATGGACTTAGGAGATGATAATTACGTTTAACAAATAGTTTTGATTTCTAATAGAAAAAGCTTTACGTGCAATGTAGGGGAAAAGAAGTTTTGTATTTCTGAGATTTTCTCGGTGTGCTTTCCACTAGAAAATGTAGTTGGATAAGGAAACTCATTAATCGGTGGCGAGCTTTTGGAATTGGTTGTGACTTTATAAATGGATTTTATTCTGTTAAACTAGCGAAATACGCATTAATGGAATATTTTGATTTATCCATCCATCCCCCCCCCCCCCCCCCCCCCCCAAAAGGAAAAAAAGGCCAGTGAGGATGCATGATTCTAAGCTTTTTGTTCAAGTGCTAAGGGTGATATTCATATCCCTTTTACCTTTTTATTCCAAGCTCGTGAGTGTCAGCTAGATTTGCTTACTACTTCAAATTTACAGTCTTCATCATTATGAGACTGATTAGACTTCTGGTTAAGCTAGCTATAAATTAATCTGCTTCTTGAGGTCAAGTGCTAACTCCAATGAGCTAGCAAAACGACTTGTGGACTGTTCTGATATTGAGCAATGGTTATTTAAAAAGTGCAGTCGAGATTGCTCCTTTATCAGTGCATTCATTGTATGTCCATTAATTTACTGCAGGGAGGTCTCACTTACAGAATGGGACATGTATTTTGGAACTGGAATTATGTTTTATGGGGTTGGGTCTGGTGGGATCAAAACCTTGATGACCAATCCGTTTAGCATTCTATTTCCCCTGCTATTGTGTGGGTTAATATGAATAGATTAACCCTTTCAAAGTTTCGCTCTTCTATCTCTTTTCTCTGTCCTTGTTTTCTTTTATTTTCTTTCTTGGCCTTGTTCCATTGTTATGAATGCATTGGTCCTGTTTATAGTTTAGACTAAAGGCTGACTTCCCTTCAGAAATCAATCAGTATCTACCTTTAAAGGAATTCATTGATTCATTATTTTTGCACCTCATGGAGGATATTACCCTCTTGATCATTCAGTATTCTTCTCTTGCCTGTCTTTGCTTGTATTGGTAAAATTTTGTCAGCCTTTTACTGAAAATTGACATTGGAACTCCTTGGGCCATTTCTCATGGAACAAGTTCAGTTGAGATATTCTTTACTCTGGAAATCCTCTTGGCCTTTCATTTTGGTTCAGCCTGTCCACAATTTTCTTCTTTCTTTTGCAAATGCTTTCGGCTTCTGTGGTTCCATCAGAGTTGCAGTGCCAGCTTATCTTCCTAGATATATAAGATGCCGAGGACAAGGGCCAGTGCTGCAGCTACTAAATCTGAACCTGAGAAGCCTGTTGAGACTGAAGAGCAGGTTGACTTTGAAGGGGATAATGAAGAAGATGAAGAGATTGAGTATGAAGAAGTAGAAGAAGAGGTGGAAATGGAAGAGGTGGAAGAAGAAGAAGAAGAGGTAGAAGAGGAGGTGGAAGAAGAGGAGGAGGAGGAGGAGGAAGAAAATGAAAGTGATGGAGCTGGGGAAGCAAAGGGTTCGAAGGATGTAAAAATGAAAGTTGATACAGACGCTGAGGATGTGGAAAAAAAGCATGCCGAGCTCCTTGCACTTCCTCCTCACGGTTCAGAAGTGTACATAGGTGGCATTACTCAAGATGTGTCTGAGGCAGATGTGAGGGATTTTTGTGAGACAATTGGGGAAGTTACAGAGGTAAAGTCTTTTCCTGTTCATTAGCTGTTCTTTATTGGTATCCCATAATTCTACTAGGATAACATGAATGAAAATCGCAGGTAAGAATAATGAAAGGGAAGGACTCAACACAGAACAAGGGATACGCGTTTGTCACCTATAGAAACAAGGAATTGGCATCCAAGGCTATTAAGGAGCTCAACAACACTGAGCTGAAGGTAGGCAAAAAGCTATTTTCCTTAACTGTACTCTTTCTTTGTCTCATCTTGCCTAGTTTATCAATCACTTATTAAACAGTTTACAGCCCTGATGTACATTTCCATAAGTGTGAATGGAAATTTATCTATTTGCTAGACTCTTTGGGTTCTCTAATAGCTGTTCCTGTATCAGGGAAAAAGGGTAAAATGTTCTCCAGCTCAAGCTAAACATCGGTTGTTCATTGGTAATGTTCCTAGAAACTGGGGGGAGAAAGATATGAGGACAGCTGTGACGAATGTGGGACCTGGGGTTATTACTATTGAGCTGGTGAAGGTAAGATCTGGCTCTTTTTTTGACTTATGTTTATAGTTATTCCGTTTCTCAACCTTTTGCTACAGTATCTTTGTCGCTGGTTATATATTTGCAGCTCCACCTTTGTTACTCTTCCGCTTAAATCCTGTTATTCATGCGAAGAAGATTTAAGTTCATCCCCCAATATATATGCAAGGAGAAACCATTTTTGTTGCTTTAATTTCTTTTTCCAACTCCTATGATACAGGATCCTCAGAACTCCGGTAGAAATCGTGGATTCGCTTTTATAGAATATTACAATAATGCATGTGCAGAGTATTCAAGACAAAAGATGTCAAATTCTGACTTTAAGCTTGATGATAATGCACCAACTGTCAGCTGGGCAGATCCCAAAAATGCTGAAACTGCTGCTTCTGCACAGGTTCTACTTTTAGAACTCTTACGTATTTTATCTTTCCTTTCCATGCAAACTAATGTGTTTGTGTGCGTGTGTGTGTGTGTGTGGGGTGGGGGGGGGTTACTAGATATGCATA